CAGTTTGGAAACTGTTTTCCAATTGGAGGAAGGGGAGGAAACCAAATAAATCTCAGTAAAGGAAATAAATTGAGTAATTAAACAGGAAAAAAAAAATCTCCTGAAAGACAGCAATGGCAAAGTGCTCACAAGTTCTGCTCTCAGAAAATCTTTAGAAAAATAAAAATGTCTTCCTTAATTAGAACTCTTTATTATTTTATTGGATTTGTTTCGGTGTCAGTTTGCCTGTTTACAAAGTGATCTGGGTTCAGGAAAAAAAGCAACAAGCCTTGAATGAAATGTAGCCCTTTAGTATCATGACAGAAGACAGGAAATGAAACTTTATGATCATCTTTTTAAATATCCAAACTGCCATACAACTTTTGAGGAAACATCTGGACCTAAAGAATCTCCTTGGAGAATTAGGAAGATGCCTCCCCTCCTCACTTTTGACACTGGGGGACAATGTTGTCGCATGAAACCCCAGGGCCTCTGGATCTTGTGGGTGTGGGGTAGGGAATACAGTAAAAGAAGTGACATCATATATTCTCTCATTGTGGAGCATGACCATTTTTTATGTTATTTCCATAATAAGTTATTGAAACATCTTATGAAAAAATTACGTTGCAGGAGGGGATAATTCTCATCATGAAGTTTAATGTATTTTCTAAAAAATGTTTTTTTTATATAAAATGATGTACTTATGTTTGAAGTTACTTCATTTTTTCCATGATATGCAAACAACATATATATCATGCATGTACATGTACATACACATACATACACATACATACATGACCTAAAACAAGATGGTTCAATGACATAAGCAAGTATTGTGATCCCAATTGGCAAAAGAAATCTCAGGAATGTATTGGTTGGAAATGTGTGGAAGAGGCCTTCATCCTGCACTGGACAGACCGTGGCTAAACTGATGATGATGATGATGATAATGATGATGACACACACACACACACACACACACACACACACACACACACATGAATATAGTATATCATCATCATTTTATGTATCATATTTACCATATGTATAAATGTTACTGTAGAGTGTCTCCTGCTTGAGCAAAAGGTTGGACTAGAATACTCCAAGGTGCCTTCCAACTCTGTTATTCTGTTATTCCTGCTATAAAATATTTACTAAACTCAGAAGTGCTGTTCTGTTCATTTTCTATATCTAAAGTGTCTTTCTCAAAAATTCTTAGTGAATGTTTATCTGTAACCTTGAATCAATTCTGAGAAGTAGTGAATTTTTCATTTAATTGCTCTAATTAAAGGATGTCTTCAGTTTTGTCAAGACTGGAGAGTTTTTTATAGATCACACATGTGGGGAGCAGTGCAATGAAAACTCCGAGAGAAATGCACTGAGGAGTTCTTTTATCTCAACCAATATGTAAATCGAGCCACTATTTCTCTTTTAAAGGAGTCAATTGGTTTTACTTCTAAGGCTGCACCCACCAACACAAAGTTTGTGCATCCTCCCGGATCCTTTCCTATCAATTACCCTCCATTCATTTGAGGGAGCAAAAATGATCCTGTGGCTAAACCTGGTGTCCTTACTAGCAGTCCTCAGAGGTATTTCTGCCCTCTGTATTCAGCTTTTTCCATTTTAGTTGTTGTATACTGTAGAACTCATTCAAACTCCTTTCATTCAGGTGTTCAATCTCAGGTCCTGTTGGTGAAGTCTGGAGGGGAGGTGAGAAGACCTGGAGAGTCCCTCCGTCTCTCATGCCAAGCCTCTGGATTCACCATCAGTGGCTACTGGATGTACTGGGTGAGACAGGCTCCAGGGAAAGGCCTGGAATGGGTGGCAAATATATATTCTTCATATATTTACTACTCCGACAAAGTGAAGGGACGCTTCACCATCTCCAGGGATGATGCCAAAAACCAGCTGTATTTGCAAATGAACAGTCTCAAAGCTGAAGACACGGCCATCTATTACTGTGCAAGAGACACAGTGAGAGGAAGTGAATCTGGAGCTTGGCAAAAACCTGCCATACATTAGAGGAGCCCTGCAAGTCCATTCAGCCCCAGAAAGCTGCCTTTTTCAATGAGGGGAACCTGAGGAAGTGCCTGATTGTCAAGAGGAAGATAGAGCTGATCTTGGTATCTGCAGTGTGGGAGAGATTTTCCAATTGAAAAGGGAAAAAAACAGGAAACCTCACCAAAGAAAATAAATTGAGTAATTAAACAGGAAAAAAAGCCTCCTGAAAGACAGCAAAGACAAAGTGCTCACAAGTTCTGCTCTCAAAAAATCTTTAGAAATACAAAATTGTCTTCCTTAATTAGAGCTCTTTATTCTTTTACTGGTTTTGTAGTTCAATCCTTATTTTTGTTCTTTTTTGACATTCAGATCTTCCTCCTTCTGTCTTTGTGTGCGTGCATCTCATTGTCTGTGTCTATATATATTCTCTCTCTCTCTCTCTCTCTCTCTCTCTCTCTCTCTCTCTCTCTCTCTCTCTCTCTCTCTCTCTCTCTCTCTCTCTCTTTCCCTCTCTCTCTCTCTCCCTCCCTCTTTCCCTACACACACACACGCACACACACAAACCTGAAATGTTAAATATGTTGAATATCATATTCATCCTCTAGCAGTAGATATATAGTCATGTAATAAAATAAGAGTGCTCTAAGAATCACATTCTTTTGTTGTGGAATAACTTCAAGGAAGCAAGCCAAAGTCAAAAAGCAAGGCTTAAAATCTTCAGACAAATGGCAGCATAAAAGAGGTCATTTTGTAATTGGTATAAGAGTAAAGGAATGTAGATTGGGCATCTCAAGTCAATCCTATAGAAATGACCCAAATAGCTTTAATTCTTCCGAACTATCTCAAGAGCAGCATTGGAGCCACCTCCACCTTTCTCACTTGACCCATTTCAGTTTTCTGAAGTTCAGTAACCTTTTCCAACTTCCCTTCCTCTTTAAGAGCATCTACATCTCCTTGGAGAATTAAGCCCTCTACCTCACCTTCACTGGTTTTACATTAGGGGCCACTGGTGGTCTGCATAATCCCACTGAATAGGAATCCAGTAGAAAGTGTTTTCAGATTCCTTTCTTTTTAGTTCTTGTGTACAGGAGAGCTCACTGAAACTCCTTTCATTTTAGGTGTCCGATCTGAGGTCCTGTTGGTGGAGTCTGGAGGGGACGTGAGAAGCCCTGGAGGGTCCCTCCGTCTCACCTGCCAAGCCTCTGGATTCACCTTCAGTAGCTATGGAATGCACTGGGTGAGACAGTCTCCAGGGAAAGGCCTGGAATGGGTAGCCTATATAAGTACAGACTCATCTCCCATTCACTACTCAGACAAAGTGAAGGGACGCTTCACCATCTCCAGGGACGATGCCAAAAGCCAGCTGTCTCTGCAGATGAACAGCCTCAAAGCTGAAGACACGGCAGTCTATTACTGTGCGAGAGACACAGTGAGAGGAAGTGAATCTGGAGCAAAGCAAAAACTGCCCATTTCCCATAGCAGCTCTGAGAATTTCTTTGAAACCTTAGAATTCTAACAATGTGTGTGTGCCTCCCTTGGTCATCTCACCCACCTCACATGCTATCCTCACACTGATGTTCAGAGTGGGGGAGGGTATGGAAATTAAACCACTGTGTACAAACAATATATCACTTCCAAGGCACTTCTATTCTACCCCCTGATTCCAAATATTGGCAATTATTCTTTCATGACTGAAGCTAGAATTGGATTTTGGACAAATGGAACTGCTGGCAGTCGGCAGAATTAGATTGCAATCCTCTATTCTATCCACTGCACCACCAGAGCTCATAATACAATGAAGAGGCTTTTTTATCCCCAGTGATATGCAAATTGAGGCACAGTTTGCCCTTTAAGGGAAGGGGAGGGGAGAGGAGGGGAGAGTGAAAGAGAAAGGGAAATGGAAGGGAAGGGAAAGGAAAGGAAGGAAAAGGAAAGGAAAGGAAAGGAAGGAGAGGAGAGGAGAGGAGAGGAGAGGAGAGGAGAGGAAAGGAAATAGAAAGCTCTTTTCAGTTTTCATAAGACGTTAAAGTTAGGTGAAAATCATGCTTATAACGTGTATGCAAGGAAAGCTATGAGACCAATGCACTGAGAGGCCCTTTTACAGAAAACAATAGAGTTTCCTTCCATTTACTCTTCTTGTATACAGGAGATTTTACTCAAGCCCCTTTCTTTCCAGGGGTCTCATCTGAGGTCCCCTTGGTGGGGTCTGAAGGGCCTATGAGGAGGCCTAGATTGCCTCTTAATTAGCTTCCCCATCTATTATATGAAATGGCTGAGAGAGGCACCTGACAAAGCGCTGAAATAAATGGCATAAATCAAGGTTCCTATATTATTTAATACATGGGTAAATGGAAGGGATGTTTCACCATCTCTGAAAACAAATTATATTAGCGAATGAACAACNCACTGGAACTCCTTTCATTTTAGGTGTCCGATCTGAGATCCAGTTGGTTGAGTCTGGAGGGGATGTGAGAAAACCTGGAGGGTCCCTCCGTCTCACCTGCCAAGCCTCTGGATTCACCTTCAGCAGCTATGGAATGCACTGGGTGAGACAGTCTCCAGGGAAAGGCCTGGAATGGGTAGCCTATATAAGTACAGACTCATCTCCCATTCACTACTCAGACACAGTGAAGGGCCGCTTCACCATCTCCAGGGACGATGCCAAAAGCCAGATTTATCTGCAAATGAACAGCCTCAAAGCTGAAGACACAGCAGTCTATTACTGTGCTAGATACACAGTGAGAGGAAGTGAATCTGGAGCTTGGCAAAAACCTGTCATTCATCAGAGGAGCCCTGCAAGTCCATTCAGCCCCAGAAGGCTGCCTTTTTCAATGAGGGGAGCCTGAGGAAGTGCCTGATTGTCAAGAGGAAGATAGAGCTGATCTTGGTATCTGCAGTGTGGGAGCGATTTTCCAATTGAAAGGAAAAAAAACTAGGAAACCTCACCAAAGAAAATAAACTGAGTAATTAAACAGGAAAAAAAAACCTCCTGAAAGACAACAATGACAAAGTGCTCACAAGTTCTGCTCTCAAAAAATCTTTAGAAATACAAAATTGTCTTCCTTAATTAGAGCTCTTTATTCTTTTATTGGTTTTGTAGTTCAATCCTTATTTTTGTTCTTTTTTGACATTCAGATCTTCTTCCTTCTGTCTTTGTGTGCGTGCATCTCATTGTCTGTGTCTATATATTCTCTCTCTCTCTCTCTCTCTCTCTCTCTCTCTCTCTCTCTCTCTCTCTCTCTCTCTCTCTCTCTCTCCCTCCCTCCCTCCCTCTCTCCCTCCTTCCCTACACACACACGCACACACACAAACCTGAAATATTAAGTATGTTGAATATCATATTGATCCTCTAGCAGTAGATATATAGCCATGTAATAAAATAAGGGTGCTCTAAGAATCACATTCTTTTGTGGTGGTATAACTTCAAGGAAGCAAGCCAAAGTCAAAAAGCAAGGCTTAAAATCTTCAGGCAAATGGCAGCACAAAAGAGATCATTTTGTAATTGGTGTAAGAGTAAAGGAATGTAGATTGGACTTCTCAAGTCAATCCTATAGAAAGTCATATTCTCCGCCCCCAAAAGAATGACCCAAATAGCTTTAATTCTTCGGAACTATCTCAAGAGCAGCATTGGGGCCATCTCCGCTTTTCTCACATGACCCATTTCAGTTTTCTGAAGTTCAGTAACCTTTTCCAACTTCCCTTCCCCTATAAGAGCACCTACATCTCCTTGGAGAATTAAGCCCTCTACCTCACCTTCACTGATTTTACAGTAGGGGCCACTGGTGGTCTGCATAATCCCACTGAATAGGGATCCAGTAGAAAGTGTTTTCAGATGGGATGACCGTTCTGAGACTGATGGTTTCCATTGTTGTCAGTTGAAAAGGAAGTAAAATTACAGCTCCCTTTACAAAACAACACAAAGTTCACACCAGTCTTTCCTACTTCATGCTAAGTGAATTGACTTGAAGGTACAATAGGATTCCTTCACCTTTCTCAGCTCCACAGAAGGATAAGTTAAGGGTAACATGGTTTCCTTCACTCAGAAACTATAGGTGGAAAATTGTTTCTTCAGCATCATGTTGTTATCTAATCAATTCTACTTTCTTGAAGAAACAATGGATAAGAAAACATATCCACACTGCAATACACATCCAGTATATTGTTGTATTTCATGTATTGCCCTGACTCTTATGAGAAATTTATATAACATCAGAATAGTTTCAAAAAAGCTGGATTAAAGAGTGGAGACAGAGTCCTTTTTTTATAAAACAATAACAACAAAACAAACAAAAAAAACCAAGTAAGATAAGGGACAACTTTATCCTTCCTCTCCTCTGTTCTCATCTGTTCTCTGTTCTCCTCTCCCTCCCTTTTAAAATCACAGATATAAAGTCTGTACAAAAAAAAAACCTGAAAGAGAGTTCCCTGAGGGGCTCTTTTATCCAAAGCAATATGTAAATTGAGGCACAATTTCCTCTTTAAAGGTCATGGTTTCCCTTTTCAGGCAACATCCACCAACACAAAGTTTGTGCATCAACCAGAATCCTTTCCTATCAATTACACTCCATTCATTTGAGGGAGCAAAAATGATCCTGTGGCTAAACTTGGTCTCCTTTACAGCACTCCTCAGAGGTATTTCTGTCCTCTGTATTCAGCTTTTTCCATTTTAGTTCTTGTGTACAGGAGAGCTCACTGAAAGTCCTTTCATTTTAGGTGTCCGGTCTGAGGTCCTGTTGGTGGAGTCTGGAGGGGACGTGAGAAGACCTGGAGGGTCCCTCAGTCTCACCTGCCAAGCCTCTGGATTCACCTTCAGCAGCTCTGCTATGAACTGGGTGAGACAGGCTCCAGGGAAAGGGTGGCCTATATAAGTACAAGATCAACTTCCATTCACTACTCAGACAAAGTGAAGGGCCGCTTCACCATCTCCAGGGACGATGCCAAAAGCCAGATTTATCTGCAAATGAACAGCCTCAAAGCTGAAGACACGGCCGTCTATTACTGTGTTAGATACACAGTGAGAGGAAGTGAATCTGAAGCAAAGCAAAAACTGCCCGTTTCCCATAGCAGCTCTGAGAATTTCTTTGAAACCTTAGAATTCTAACAATGTGTGTGTGCCTCCCTTGGCCATCTTACCCACAAGGGGGCGCTATCCTCACACTGATGTTGGAGCAGGGGAGGCTATGGAAATTAAACCACTGCGTAAAAACAATATATCACTTCCAAGGCACAACTTTTCCATCTGATATGCTTAGAAAATTTACCAAATTGGTCTTAATGGGAATGTCACTTCAACTAGGGGCATAGAGCAGGCTCAAGTCGCAACTGCGAAATATTTTTATATCCAAATTTCTTTTTTTCTGACAAAGAGTAAAGAATTAAATTGGGAGACTAAGATGGACCATTTCTGGCTTTTTTGCCTTCATCAGTTAGCCATACCCTTTATGGGATTCGAACCTGGAAAGTTATACATACTAGGCAGTGATTTAGT